TCTTCTTACTTCTTTTTTTTTTTTTTGTTTCTCGTCTTCTTTATGTCACCTGTCATCCTTTTACTTTACAATCATTTGAATGTTTTACAACTTTTCAAAAATAAGAAAAAAAAAACAAACCTATCTATTTGGAAACAAATAGCATTTTACTTTCTTTTCTTATCATTACATATCTTCTCATATCATTTTCTTATCTCTTTTAAGAAAGTTTGAAAATTTTAATATGACATTTCGTCTTGTCTTTTTTCATTTCAACATTCTTTCTTTTTTTTTTTCTCGCTTCCTTTTCAAAATATATTTTCTTTCTTTTCATTTCTCTTATTTCTTTTTTTTCTTTCTTTTTTTTTTTCAATGTACTCATCTTTTCCATTGCAAATATTTGCTGTAAAAATGATTAGATGAATTCTGGTCGAATTTTTTTTTTCGTTTTCCATTGATAGTACTTTTTAAGTGTTACTATAAAAATGAAATTCTCTTTTTTTGTTTTTCTCATAAGTTAGAAGAAGAGAGGAAAATGATAATTATAAGAAAATAAGATATTGATTATTAAAAAGAAAGATGATAATTATTAGAAAGTATAATGATGATTTTTAGAAAATAATGATGATAATTATCAAAAAGTAAAGTGATAATAGCTATCAAGATGATGATTATTATTATTAATTAATAATAACAATGAACATAATAGCAAACAAAATATCTCATAGTTTTATTGCTAATCACATCTCACATTATAGCTATGTGAATAAATCAATATTATAGTATGTCATAAATATTACAGTATTACAGTAATACAATGTGAGATCTCCTTTTCTACAAATACTACTACTACTACTACTGCATGTCAGTTTAATTACCTTTTTTTTCTTCTTATCATTAATAGATTTAAATTTTGATATGTAAAAAAAAAAAACAAGTGAATCAAATTTAGGAATATATCATAAATTACTTGCATGCATAATAATTTGATAATTATCATAGTAGAAATGATAATTTAATAATTATTAGGCAAAGATGAATTTTTGCATTTTATCAAAAAAATTTTTCTTTCATCAAAATTCAATTAATAAAAATTAATTTTTTTGTCAAGAGAAAAACGAAAAACTTCAATATAACTCTGTGCATTTGTATGTTTTTTCGTTAAATATACAAATGGATTACAATAAGAAATTTATTAATAAAAGGAAACAATTTACTGGAAAAAGAAATTTTTTCATTCCAAAATTTGAGATATTCCATTACTAAATAAAAGCGGGGATAATATCATTTCTAATTAAATAAAATTTCTGATAAAACAATAATTATCATTTTGGAAGAGTAAAATTGGTTGTTTTGTTAGAGCTTTTTAATGCTTATCATATTATGCATTTAATATGTCATAAAATGATTGATAAGCGATGATCATTGAAATCTAGGAGCTAAAATGATAACAAATACATTTCGTATGATATTTTCAACTACTCCCATTTACATACCAAATTCCGGATGGAAATAATTCCGGTTTAGAAGATGAATAATGTCAAAAAGTTTCTGAGTGATTTTAAAAAATCATTTAATAAAATGCATCGAAATTAATTTATTTCCTGATGCTATCCCTCGGAATTTTTTGTATAACCGGTAAACAATTGGATTGAATCATAATGAATTTAATTTTTGACGAATTACAAATTTGGAATCTTTTAAAACTTTTCATGATTCAAATTTTTGTCACTTCTATCAATAAAAGCTTTGGTAATTTTGGATTTTTTCGATCTTTTCCGAAATTTTCATCGAAATTTTCATCGTTTTTTTCGTTCAGAAAATCCGATATAAAATATTTTTTAAATTATTGTTTTTTTTTTTTAAAGAAACTTTTAGACGGAGCTATTGTTATTATAGGTATTGCTAGTTTTCGAAATTTTTTTTTACTTTTTTTTTTTAAAAAAAATAAATAAATAACTTATAATTAAATTAATTTGAATAGTAATTATTGTTTTGAATTATTTCATCCTCTCTTCTTGTCCACTTTCGTCTTTTTTTTTTTCTTGAGAAAGAAATAGAACAGAGGAAAGTTAAGTGAAGATTTTGAGCTTTCTTTTCACAAAAGATTGACAAGCAATCAATCACTGTTGTAAAAATATTTGAGCAAAATTTTTATTATCCACCTTTGCTAGTTATACTAATTTCTTCCAAAATTACTATTAAACTAACTAACTTACAAGAGCAAAGTTCATCTCCTTATTTTTTCTAAATTAATTTTTTTTTTTTTTTTTTGGAGTATTTAACTTTCAAATTATTTTTAATTTTGATTTTAAATAGAAGTCGTATAATGTAACAATGCAATTTTTATTACTAATAATATAACTTCGATGAAATTAATTTTTTGTCCTGAAATTCCAATTTTATTTTCAAAATTTAATTTAATAACTTTTAATGATATATTAACTGAAAATAGGAAAGGTGTAAAAGGGAAAAGAAGAAATCGGATATTCTACTATAATGAAGTAAACCTAACTGTTGTAAAAACTGAAATAGTTGTGTCATAGAATTATTCATTCAAATAGGTATAAGTTAACTATCTAATCTTTAAATTGTCCAAAAATGTTTCCTGCCTTATACTACATCCGGTAATTAATTTTATAAAAG